TATATATATATATATATATATATATATATATATATTCATGATGCTAAATTATGAAATGATAGATAGAACTAAGATATAATAACATTGATTCTTTGATTCATATGTTAATCTTCTTATAACACTTCTTATAATACACTAGAATATGATTAAGTTAAGGATCACTAGTCCATCACAGGTGTACGCTTAGTATTGATTGATATTATTCAAACTAATCATTAGAATTCATACTAATATGTTCTTGTCATTTGAATTAATAAATAAGTTATGGTAACATGATTTGAATGATTATATGTTGTGGGAAAATAAAACCACATTGATTCAGTTTGCTCTCATATTTACATTCAAAATAATGTACCATATTGAGAGATGAACATGGTATTCTATAATGAATTTAAAGAAAAAAATAGAGTTTAAAACTATTATTTCTATAATCAAGCACAATTAAGTGAACAAAATATCATCTCGAATGATGAACATGATGTGCCATGGAGTGTTTGAAAAGAGAAATGAGGTTTTAAAATTTTTTTCATTCCTATAATCAAATGCAATGATCAAAATAATATATCATCTCGAGAAACAAACAAATATTATATGAAGGATTTGGAAGCAAGGATATGTTTTGAAAAATGCATTATTTATATGATCAAAAAATGACAAAGAAAATATCATATCATGTCAAAAGACAATAGTGATATTTTACAAAGATATTTTGAAGATAAAAATGGGTTTTGAAGAACCTATATATGTTCCCAAAGTTCTTTTCCAAATTTTATAAGAATAAAATAGGGTTTATTTTAATCTTGATATACCGATTCTCTATAAAGGCAAGCCTTTATGCGCGTGTGTACGTGCGCACGCGCACACACACACATACACACACACACACACACACACACACACACACACACACACACACACACACACACACACACCCCCCTAGGAGCAAAGAACCACCACCGATGTTAAGTTTTAACATAAGGGAGCCTAATGTTTTTCAGCCTAATAAGGCATTTCATGGTAGCAAGTAAAGTATTGTAAGTGAATTCCATGTGGGAACTAAGAGTACAACTATAGTTAGCTAACCAATCGGCATA